AAGCAATAGCAGTGACTTTCTCTACATTGTTCCACCCACCACATTAAAAGAAGATCAACAAGAGCACCACATAATTTTAAATAAAATAAATTATGACTTACTGGTCATACAGCCGTTGTGTTTCTGCAGAAAGGCCGCCCGAACATCTTTGATATGATCCACAAGCCTCGACTCAGGGGGTTCCTCAATTGCAGCGAAAACTGCCGCGCCAATCACGAGGAACAGGATGTAAAAGATGCCAAGGGCGAACAATCGGAAATTACTACGCTTCAAGATTAAAGCTCCAGTTGTTGCCCTTTGTTCTGTGATGGGCTCTGTGTCGGTGGCCATGTCTGGTAGAGTTTTGGTGTCGTTGTATTGTGTTTTCAAGTTTTTATCGTTGTTTCTTTCCTTTTTGGAGTTTTCTTTTTTGTTCTCTTTAATTTACATTTAAGAATGGTTTAGTTTTTCGCTTTCCCTTTTGCCTTTTGTCTTTTTCCACCAACGCTGAGGAAGTTAATGTTATTTTAAAGCCAAGAATGCAGTTGTTGCAACTACTGCTACTTCTCTGCTATGTGTTCGTGGCGTAGTCAGAAATAACTTGACTACACACTCTTCTTTCTCATCATCTACTTCTTGTTAAAATGGAAATGATCTTTTCGGCAATTCCACTACACATTATCAGTAGATAAACAGTTTGTCTCTTCCGTGACTCACAAATTGTTAATTGCCATTTTCATCTTTCGAAATCCAAAATGAAGTCAACAGACTTTTACTTGAAATGATAAATCCAAATCTCAGAGTATCTTGAACTTGAAGTATCCTTACTAGATCTAGATCTAGATCTTTCAAGTGTGCTTCACAGCAAGGTAGTGAATTGTATCCTCGGTTGAAAAAAGTATCCTTAGAGAAAGCTCCTGACCTCTTCAGTGAATTCAACTCGCCGTATTCAGGTAGATCTAAAGGTCAGTAGCATCCAGGTGAACGCTGGGGGAAAAGACAGAAAGAATATCAAATATTGAGAATAAGTGTAGTAGCCTTGAAAAATTTATTCCCTCTTTTCGGACAACTAACATCTTTAAAACTTTCCCCCCCGAATATATCTTTAAAAGTAAAAGACAATTATTATTATAGTATTCCTGCGGAGTGACAGAGAAAGACACAGAACGTCATTTTTATCATCATGCATTAAACTCTTACCGTCTTATTCAATTTGTAAAAGAAGTACTTGGTACGCACATACAATTACTATTAGAAAACTGATAAGATAAGATAAGATAAGATAAGATAAGACAAACTTTTATAGTTCAGATCCTGGCACATTAGTTTGATGTTTCTCAACGTACGATACATAATAAACGCGCCTACATGTGTGTGTGTGTGTGTGTG